TTCTTTAAGTTCCTAAAATGGCTTTTTATCCATAATAGAATGGAGAGCTCCATATCTAAGTCCTCCCCACCTCCCTCCCTTCTCTTATTCCTGTCTCAGCCCTCTCCCCCACCAACACCCACATCTCCCCCTCTCCCTCTTGTTCTTGTTTTTGTTGTAGTTGTTTTTTCTTTTGAACAACCTTAGTAGAATCTGTATGTGATGTCACTTTGCTAGAGCTACTTGGATGGATCTTTGTAGTTGACATACTTTAGATTAAAAAACTCTGCTCATAACTTGCCCTTGGGAATCACATGTGTAATAGTGCAGCTATTTAAAATCAAGAATGGGACCCTGTCTGGCACAGCAGATTAGAGTGCAGCACTATGAAGCTAGCCACAGCTGATTCAGCATTGAGTTTGATTCCTGGCCATGAAGCTGACCCATATGGCAAGGCAGACCTTCCCTATCTCGCCTCTGCTTCCCTCAGGGGTGTACTTTGTGGATCTCCCTGTTCTGCTCCCCACACTGTCTCTGGAGTGTCCTCTCACTACCTCTGCACCTCTGGCCTGTACCCCAGTTCTGTATGCAAAAATAAATTTTTAAATAAAATAAAATAAATAGTCCCGCTTATAAGGAGTAGCACATGATCTATTTTATAGTATTGTCTCAAATACTTAACAAAGCACCATATCATTAACACTAGAGCCTTTCACAATGTTTCCGTCAGTGGTCATGTAAACTAACTCAATTTTGAACTAACTGCAGTGGTGTTTCCCACTACAAAATGTAAGTACGTCTTAATATTTATTCTGACAGATTGAAAATAAGTCCATATTCAGGTTTATAATTTAAAAAATAAAAATGTTATCAACTTTTTAGATTTTCTGCTTAATTTTATAACCTTTGCCTAGAGAATCATCTAAAATATTTGTAATATTTTATTTTATATTGAACTATAATATGTACACCAAGCAGTTCACAGATAATAAATATATAACCTGATATATTTACAGATTAAACACTACCATATAATAAGTACCTAGATCAAGATTAAAATATTAGGGCCCTCCCTGGTGACGCAAGGGGTTAAAGTGCAGCACTGTGAAGCTATCTGCAGTCACTGCAGCACAAGTTTGATCCCTAGCCAGGGAGGTGACCCACATGGCACAGCAGACCTCTCCTGTCTTGCCCACTGCTTCCCTTAGCAGTGTATTTCAATCAGTCTGCCTGTTCTGCTCCCCACTGTGTCTCCCTCTAGCCTATATCCTAGTTCTTGTATGCATAAATACATAAATCTTTTTTAAAAATTAAAAAATTACCAATACCCCTCAGAACAACTCCTCTCAGGCTCCTTTCCAATTAATACCTTTAGCCATAGGTAACTACCAGTTAGGCTTCTGGAAATAAGATATAAAATTGAGTTATAAAATTGTTGGATACATGTGAAGTGATAAGATTTTATTTTAATGTTGACAATGATTGATCCAACAATTAAGTTCATGGAGAAGTTGATAAGACTCTTTGAGAGTCCACTGCATCTTTTTATATATGATATAAACCTATATTAACCTATAGTATGGAAGTGGAATTTGCCATATTACTCCTTTTATTATTTTTTTATTATGAAATAATTTTATACTGACTCAAGTTTTATGTATTCAATATTCTTTCTTGCTTAAAAGTCATATTTCTTCTCAGGAGAAAGGACAACTTTTGTGTGCCCAAATTTCTCTCTGAGTTCATTTCATTATCTCTCCCTAAGGGAAGAGTTGGCTCTAATTAGTCAGTTTCCAAATGGCAGTCATATGAACACTTGATCAAAATTTTAATTACCAGCAGGGTTGACCTATATTGTAAAGGCCCATTAGAGCAAGTTATTTCTTCCTCCCTTTATTGTATACTCAGTTAACAAGGCATGTGTATTGAATACTGTGTTGGCATAGAACATTTTGCCAGGTGCATTAGTATATTAGAAGGAACAGAAGATACTGACCTTGACCTCCAGGAATTTAACAATATCATAAATATCATGAGGTGGTTGAAAGTATGGACTCTGGAAGCAGACTACTTAGATCCATATTCCAAGTCCACCACTTTCTAGCTATGTGATTTGGGGCAAGATACTTAACTTTTCTCTGTCACATTTTCTTCCTCTGTGAAAAGAGGCTAATAAGAATACTTACAGAGTAGGGGAGGAGATGAAGTTGTGGGGTATACTAATATTTAATACATGTAGCATTTTTAGATGTTCTTGTGATATAGTAAGTATAATAATAATTATCATTTTAGGCATCATACATATAATACTGAAATTAAGACCAAGGTAGCACATAATTAAATTCTTCAATGAGTGATGAGAGCAAATAGAAGCATCTCAGGTCACTGCTTCAAATTGGCTGCCTTTTCCATATGCCATCCTTCTTCTATAATGATAAATTCCCAGCTGACATTTATCAATTTACATCTTTGATAGAAATGGAAAAGGAAAAAAACCTATCATGAATATTTTAAGGAAGTTTTGATTAGAATTGCCAAGATCTTTGGCAACTCTTCCCTCTTCCAAGATTCAGGATGTTTCTCCCCCCATCCCCCAGACTGTCAGGATTTGCTTTATGTACTCTATTACATGCATATTTATGAGTTAAAGTCATGAGTGGATAGCATTCTTATTTATCTTATTGTAATCAAATTCTTTTTCATGCATATCTGACCAAAAATCAGATAATAATGAAAGAATGGGAATGTGTTTCTTGGAAGAGAAATGAATAATTTTGCAATGCAGAATATGTTATTTCCTCTCTAAATAGAAGTTTTGTATTATGGTGTTGGGCAGCATTGCATCATTGGTAATGGAGGAAGAGACATAGGATGTCATAACCTATTTAACTTTTTTTTCAGTATTGCCTACCATATTTTATACATTCCATGTGAAGGAATGTATCCATGATCCAAATAATAAAAATGTATAAAAGTTACTTAAATTTTTTCAGAATGCATACCCTTTGTAAGTGATGTAAGCATTACTCTATAAAGTTAGAATAGATATTTTTCATTGAGAATTACTGTGATGAAAGGAGTTTAGGAGAAGGAGTTTGAACTGAATAATCCCTTCTAGTATTTGTTTAGAAGGAAACTGAGGAGGTCAACGATGAATATTATGCTTGAAGAGAGTAGAAAGCAGTTGAAGATGTAATTGACCAATTGATACATCAGTTTTCTAGCCAAAAAGTGAGTTATTTTCCCAGGGGTTCATAGTTTTCTTTATTTTATGCAACCTTTACCCCAAGTTATCTTTGTTTTTTGGGGCTTAAACTAATATTCATGCTTTGAAAAAATGGATTAAGTAGAAGTTCTTATTTATTTTTATAGAACCCAAAGTTTCAAATTTGAGAAACTTTCCACATTTTAGGGCCCTCCGTGGTGATGCAACAGGTTAAACCACAGCGTTGTGAAGCTATTGCAACCAGTACAGCATGAGTTCAATCCCTGGCCAGGGAGGTGAACCACATGGTGTAGCATACCCTTCCTGACCTGCCTGCTGCTCTTCTCAGCAATGTATTTCAGTACATCTACCTGTTCTGCTCCCCACTCTGTCTCTAGTGAATCCTCTCAGTCCCATATACTTCTGGCCTCTACCCTAGTTCTGTATGTATAAACAAACCTTTAAAAAAAATCTTTTTAGATGAATATCCTAGTTATATATATAACTTTGTATATGTATAATATCCTAGTTATATATGTATTTGTGTATATGTATAATATCCTAATTATATATGTAACTGTGTATATGTATAATATCCTAGTTACATATATAACTGTATATACATATAATATCCTAGTTACATATCCGTGTATAATAGCCTAGTTTTATATATATATATAACTGTGTATATGTATAATGTCCTAGTTACATATATAACTGTGTATATGTATAATATCCTAGTTATATATGTAACTGCCATTGTGTAGCTTTACTAAACATTGTAACAATGCATTCCATAGCCCTTGAATATTGAAGGTGAAGAAAATCCTCAAAGCACTTTTTTCTGTAGCAAGTCCTGAATATACCTAGCAACTAAATCCCTTTCTACTTTTCAATTCATTTTTAAGTTATTAAAAGTATTTTTTCCTCCATCAGACATATTATATGGAAAGTAAATGGAGAAACTAAGCTTTACCAAAAATTTACAGACACACATTTTGTATAGCAGGAATTAATTGTATGTAATTTTTTTGAGATTTATTTATTTATGCATATAGAACTGGGGTACAGGCCAAAGGTGTGTGGGGTGTGTGTGTGAGAGATTTCACCAGAGACAGAGTGGGGAAGCAGAACAGCAAGATCAACTGAAATATACTGCTGAGGGGAGCAGCGTGCAAGACAGGAGCGGTCTGCTGTACCATGTGAGTCACATCCCTGGCCGGGGATCCAACTCATTTCATGTTGAAGCGGCTTCAGCTAGCTTCATAATGCTGTGCTTTAACCCATTGCACTACCAGGAGGGCCCTATGTGTAATATTTCTATAAATTTTCAGGGAACTTTGTTTATGGGGACAAAAGAAATTCAAAGTGACCATAAAGTGCTATGGCTTTTAAGTATTCAGAATGAATGCTTTTTTCCTTTAAAATGGCATCTAATGACAACATAAAATATACACAAAAATTAACAGCAGAAAAAAAATTAGAAGAACTTTTTCCTATACCTGACATAAAGTGCTATAGTATAAATCCTTATAAGACTTATAAAAGCTCAAGCAGCCATCTGTCTTTTCCAGTGGCTGACCACATCCAGTGTAATTTCTACTTAAGATAGAATTTAACTTGTGCTTCAGAAAGGATTTTCTGCTATTTATATATACACACATACATGTATAATTTGTCTACAGTCAAGTTGAACAGTAGCTCCAGATTAATTCTGAGAATAATTAGAAAAGGATTGTGTGAATATTTTTTTTTTATTTCTAAATTCACCATTTTGATACAGATACCCATGGTTTTCTTCTGTGTTTACATGCAGCCAGGAGCTATGGGCGGAGACGAGGTAAAAAAATTTTTAATGAGATTTTTTGCTTGCAAAATTGTGAATAAATATGAGTGTGGGAGTGTTTATACCTGTGTCTGAAATAATGATTGTTGTATAGAATGCTGTTCTAGATTAGTTATTTTAGTGAAATACTTTTATCACTTTCACTATAATTACTTTTCTGTTACTTGGTAATTTGTTCGTTTAATCCTAGTAAAGACATGGCAGAACTATTTTTACTTGGCACTTTTTGTTGTATAATACTGTGAATAATCTTGAAGGAATAGCTGTTGTGTGTATATTTGTGTGTGTGTCCACTGTATTCTTTTCATCATACTTAGAAAGTACGAGTTAGTTCAAGGAGGGCAATTCTTGATCTTAGAAGGTTGAATAGTGAATTTATTTATTTATTTATTTATTTTTGGTATTACATCTGGAAGCAGATTTGCCTTGAAGTTAACTGAAACTTTAGTTTCAGAGACCTTTACTTTCATGGACCCTTTTCCAGGATATTTATCTTTTTTGTTTTTCTCTTTTTAAAAAAGGGACTCACAACTTGAATAAGCCTATTCTGTCTTGGTCATATCCAAACAAAATATACAATGCCTTTCTAAGACATTCCATATCTGTGCATTGTTCAAATGATTTTATGAAGTACAATAAACTTAAGATGTAGGGTCAAAGACTCAGGTTGTAATCATTACTCATCATTTATGTCTGAAATCTTCATCTCTACATTATGAGTTGAACAATCTTGTCCAACTTCAGAGTGCTTATGAAATTGAGTATGAATATGGAAAGGAAAAGCTATCCATGTAGACTGAAAAGTATTGTACAATTGTATGTTGCTTTAGTGTTCATTTGCAGAAACTGGGAGAACATAAGCAGTTTATTTGCTGTCTTAAAGACCAGAACTATACTCTCTGTACTGCTTATTGGGTGATATATACTGTTCGTGTTTACAGTTTACTGTCTTTGACTTTACAGCTTAGTCTTAAAAAGATAATTATATTAAATCCATAAGTATCTTACTTGTTGAATGAATATTAGCAGAGTCTAATATGCATTTGAGTTAAGGTACAAATCTTCTTTCATGGTGGGATCATATAGATTTATTTTCATAGAATGATGAAGAAAAAATATATGTGTAGTTGATTACTTCTTGAGCATTATTTAACATTTTAAGACTTTCTCATTTTTTAATTTAAAATTTTCAAAGTGTAGAAAATATTAATAGAAATCACTTTGTACCATATATTTTTTTTCATGTTGCTAGGAAAATGACTAGTTTGAGGAAGGGATAGGGAATGGACCAATTGATATGGAAAATAGACACCATCTGGAGGGTAGACAGGACAGGCTAGCCTTTCCTCCTCTTACATGCTGATCAGCCATCAAATCGTATAAACTTTTTTTCCTTCTGCTTTCACAGTCATCATCTCTCATTCCATTTCTGTTGCTCCATGTTTCTCAGTAACCACTTTGTGAACTCAAGATTCACATCTGGCCTCTCCATTTTGCCTACTTCACCTTCTATCTAACACATGTGCTTTCCCACTGTCTGGCCTTTGTATAAAGCACAGTCCACTCTTCTCTCATTTGCTTATCTAAAGCCTCCCCTTTTTTCACACATTTAAGCCTAACTCAAGCTTTACTCCTTCCAGAAATCAGGCAGTGTTTTCTTCTGCATCTACTGCATTACATTCTTCCTAGAATGCCCTGGTTCTTTAATGGTGAGAAGTTCTTTGATGAAGTGATCTCTTGCACCTAACACTGTGCCCTATATTTAGTTAGTGCTTATTAATCTGCATTTAAAAGGATTGTTTTGAAGTAACTTACCACATGATACATGTCAAAGTTTAGCATTATATTTTTATAATTATTGTATTTTTTATAAATCACAACTTACTGATAAATACTAGTCAATAAGAATATAAAATAACTTGTAGTTTCTACTCTCCTGAAGAGAAAAATACTCTTCCTTTTTCCATGTTATCTTCCTCATATCTATTTGCAATATTTCACTCAGTTGTTTTCAGAAACCATCATCATGTTTGCATCAGGTACTAAGCTACACATTGCCCACAATGACGTGTACCCTGTTCTCTGTGAATCAACAGTTTGATAATTATAAATAAAGAAGATAATGACAGGTGTGTGTGTGTGTGTGTGTGTGTGTGTGTAGGGGCTATTGCTAAAAGACTGAATGTAGACTTTACAATGAAAACAGAATAGACAGAAACATTTTTTTTTATTCCTTCATTTAGTCTTCTATTCCCAAAACTGCAAAAGGCATGTGCAGATGACATAGCCTTATGGGTTGGAGCAGGTGTTCTTCATATCCATTCTTCCTCCATGAGATCTAATCATCTAGCCAATGTTAACTGGCAGGATTCTCATGCTCATTTATTTTTGTAGTCAAGATTATATTAATTCCTTTCCTACAGACCAAATTTAGACTTTCTCAAAAAAGTTTAATGAGCAAACTTGCTAATGTACATTATTTTGCTCGAAGATTTAGCATAACTACGTTCTATGTATTACATGCAACTTTAACAAATACTTTAGAAAGCAAAGGACATTATCCATGACAGTGAGATCTGGTAATAAGAATCCAGTCAGTGGAATCTTTCAGCTCTTCTAATGAACTTTTCTAAATTTTCTAGAATAGTTAGAATATCAGGTACTATTTAGGTGATGAAAGAGGAATGGGCTTTAACTATGTGGTTCAATCTGAAAGGCTGAAGTGAACTTTTCAAGACCAGATGCTTAGAGATGTTCTTGAGTGTATATAGTGGGACCAACTGAAGAGAGGTGTTGGCAGTAAGATGGTGCGGCTTTGATTAATCATTTTTGAAAAGAGGGTCTGAGTCCTGGGCATAGAAATCTCAGGCTTGTGTGCTTCCAGTAGTGCAGTTGAAACAGTAGTACTTGGGAAATAGAAGAATTAGATGTGAAATAATAGAAGTTGAAAATAGATTATATATAAAGTATTTAATTGTCCAAACATATTTCTCATTGCTACTAATTTTTATTTTAGACAGGTTCCTATTTCCTTATGGAATCAAACTCACATTAAATAACCTTAACATTTTATCAGGAGTATTTTGGTTTCTACAGGTTTTAATGTGTTTTTTTATATAACTGCAGCCCCTGTTAGGAACTAGTTTAATGGATAGTGTCAGAAAAGGTCTCTGCCTATACATTAATAGCATACCTGATTAAAATGTATTTTGTTTTATTAATTTCACAGAAGTTTCTGTGGTCCTCTGAAGACTTCATATGTATAACCATATTGTCCATGTAATGTTTAATTTTTAATATAATTTCTTAAAAAGCAACAAGAAAAATATGAAAGATTCTTTACAGTAATGTCAATAAACAAATATGATAACTGATTAGAGTACTGTTTTTAAAAGTACTTCTGTATATTTAATCCATAAAATTCATAGACATTAATAGGTGCCCTTAGTTGATAATAAAGTTTCTAAGAATCCAATAAAAACAACTTGTGTAGCAAGTTGGAGTTAGTGCTTTTTGCCAAAACCTCCCTAAGAGGAAGACAGATCAGCTTTATCAGTGAGACAGCGGTATAAACTTACTATTTTGTTAATTCAAATCTTTATGTGAACTTTCTTATGTAAAGGAAAGGACAGCTCCAGATTAAAGCATGGACATAAGCTGAGTATTCATGCTTATGTTAATATATGAAGTGTTATATCTTACAGTAATAGGAAGATTTGGGCACAGGAGAATGTAAGAGAAATAAGATCACTAGCTTTCACATTTGTGAAAAAGTTGGTCTAGGAAGGGCATATAGGAATAATAACAGAGGGGCTCTCGGATGTACCATATTTTCATTCATTAAGTGTTTGTATGCTTATCATGGATCATATGCTGTGCTAGGCTTTAAATATGTTCTGTATCCCTACTGAGTGTTCACTCTAGTAGGACAACAATAAGTGAAACAAACATTTTTATACTCAAATTTATGATAACTACTAGACAGGAAAAAATGAGAGATTCCCTGTAAGGAGAATGCTTTTCTCTGAAGAATTGTTATTTAAACTGAAACCCAAAGGATGGATAGACTACTGTCTTTAAATAAATTGTCACATATACACAGATAGTTTAATGAACCCATATATCTCCTTCATTCTGCTTCAGTGATTACAACAATTTTGCCATTCTCATTTCACATGTTTCTTTTCTTTTTCCCCTAAGAATATTTTAAAGGACATTCCAGATATTATAAGACAACTATTTTAAAAGACTTGAGGCAAACAAAGTATTGATAAACCTTGAAAACATGCTAAATGAAAGGCAATTACAAAAGATTGAATATTGTGTGATTATACTTTTTTGAAATGCCCAGAAGGAAGATTAGTGGTTGCATAAGTTAAGAGGGTTCAGAGATAAAGGAAGTGACTATTAAATGGGTGAAGTTGGTAAACTGTAGAATATGCAAATTATATGTAGTTGTTATTAGAAAGGGCACCTTAAGGAAAGGAAAGGAGGTAAGTCAATGCTAGAATGACCAAGCTTGGTGGGAGGGAGCAGATGAAGTTAGATGATCTTAAGATGAAGTTAGAGGAAGGAAGGAAATCTGATCTTTCTGGGTTTTAGCTTCTGATAAGGATTTTGAACTTGGCCGAGGACAAAAGGAAATCTATGAATGTCTTAAAGCAGGGTCAATTGGTCATATTTATATACATATATATATTTTTTAACTGCCTACTGTTTGATATAGAGTGAGAGGGGAAGTGGATCATTTAAGTTAGGAGATAATGATAATAAACTGGGCAAGAGGTGATAATATTTTATGATAGGAAAAGAAGTAAACAAATGGAAAATGTATTCTGTACAATAGAATCAACCCACCTTAATAGCATTAAATTGCAAATTTGAATAAGTAAATGAGAATAAAGATTCAAAATGATATTCAAGTTCTAGCTTGAGAAGTTGTGGGTGAATTGGGATGCATGTTGAAATGGCCCTGGGAGACCATAAGTTTAAGG